GCCCCATCCCTGGAAGTGTTCAAGGCCAGGTTGGATGGGGCTTGGATCAACCTGGTCTGGTGGAAGGTGTCCCTGTCCATGGCAGGGGGGTTAGAACTGGATTGTCTTTAAGGTCCCTTCCAACCAAACCATTCTATGATCAGGATAAGGAAGAGGAGACTGGGCAGATCTCTGCTGGATTTAGGTGGCAGAGTAACTAGAGCAGCGTGCTCTAGATGCTGTATGATTCCTTGTTAGCCATGTGTGTCTTCACATGCATTTTTATTTTTTAACTGGTGCAGCTGTTGTGGCATCTGCTGTCACTGTAGCTCCTGGCTTGCCCAGTGTCCTTGGAGGTGTGGGGGACTTTGGGGTGCAGTCACACTCCCGTGGGATCTTGTTGTACAGGACATGCACGGTGACAAATGAGCAGGGCAGGGTAATTGTGCTGCTTGTCGTCGTAGGAGGTGAAGGCCAGTTCTTCTGCTGAGCAGAAGGCTTTTTTTCCCCATTAAGTTCATGCTGGTTGGCAGGAAGGAGACTTGATACCTAAGATTTGATTTGATTTTTTTCCCCCCTTGAAAGCGTTAATATAACCATCAGCCTAAAGCAGCGAGTTGAGGCGTGCTGGGTTTGGGGACAACCAGGCCATTGGCGCATAAATGCTGCTGTGTGAATGACACGCTGAGGCTTCTCAAATCCCTCTTATTTTTATGCTGATTTTGAAGTAACTTTTAATCCTTCAGACATATTGGTCTCTAAGCACTTTTTTTGAAAGAAGAAAATAACCCAAGTCAAGCAGTTTGGGTAATAATAGTACTTAGTGCTTAACGAACCATGTGGAATTAATCCTCCCGGACCAATAAATTTAAATGAAATTGTGTTGATCTTGGCTGGGGAATGGGGAAGTGATGTGGAATCAGCTTTCCTCCAGGCACGGAGGAGCAGCTCCCTCACCGTGGCTCCACCATGGTCAGTGGAGATGGAATTGGTGAACCTGTGAAGTTTGGGTTCAAGCTGAGTCCTGCATTTTAGTTTTCTTCCTCTGCCTTTGCAGCTGCACTGTGAATGAGGTCTTGTTCCTCCAGGCTTGGTCAGACCTGCCAAGGAGCAGTGGGAATTGGGTCTCCTTGGTCCTGGGGAAGAGTCTGTTTTAGGGTGATGGCTTAGGGCCAGAGAGATGCTTCTGGTTCCCTGTCCTGCTTCTTCCCATGTGCTGTCCCTTGGGGTCAGTGAGATGTCCCACATCACCAGGCTAGACCTGTCAGTCTACCATCCTGTTATATGGAGAAGTCTTCTGGCCACCCATTGTTGATTCAAACAAGACTGAGCAATATAAATAAAATCTCCCATTAAGAGAAATCGTTTCAAGTTGACTGGAGTCTCTTGGATGGCCATGGCCTTTGCTCTGATGTGCAGGCTCCCAGAATCAAATGGAGAATACTGTGGGTGGGCACTGACATCTTGTTGGTAGTGTCACCTTTGGGCCAAGGGGGGAAAAGCAGCATTGAATCTGTGATGCTTAATAATTTTGTGTACCAATTGGTATGTTTTGTGTATCGATGATTGCAGGTTAACATCAGTTGTTTGATTATTTTGTTTGTTTGTTTTCAGGTTACAAACTGATTGGAAGCCATTCTGGGGTGAAGCTCTGCCGATGGACAAAGGTATGCTCTCTTTTCTTTTCTCATTTTATAAATTGAAAAGAAGAAAAGCTAGAGACTTATTCAGGTATTACAACTTCCAGATGAAATACCATTTAAAAATGTGATATTACTTGCACAAAAACCAAATTTCATCTTCCAAGCTGTAGTTTGCATTTCAAGCTATTGAAATCCCAGTGCGAAGAGTGAGAATGTGACTGTGGCAGAGAGCTGGAAACATCATTTTCTGTTGTTTTTCCTGTTATTCTGCTGTCTACAAAAATATCTCTTGCCTACTGAAATATATGGCAGGAGCAGAATACCGCAGAGAAAAGTGGGAAGGTTACATCACCAGTGTGAGGTCTTTGGAAACAAAGATAACGCAGTCTGTAATTACACTCGAATGGGCGCACAAGGGCATTTGAACCTGTTGTTCTGTGACCGATATATCTGGTTTGTGACAGTCGGTGCTCCTCCACTTGTTTTCAGCGTTTGTCAAGTAAGATTTAGATAACGAGGTAACTGTCGCTTGTTAATGCTAAGACTTTTTAAAAATTGCTCTGTGGGAGTGTGTGTATATGTGTATAGTTGTGTACAATATATCTGTGTGTGTATGTACACATATATCTGAAAAAAGTCATCCATCAAGCCTTGTAGTTGAGGCTAGAAAAGCTACTGGCTTACAAAGAAGTTTGCAGACTGAAAAGTGTTCCCGTCAGAGGCACAGAGCCCTGTAGAACAAACTTCAGCCGCTTCAGTATGTTTGTTGTTTTGGCTGTCCTTTGCAGGTCCCTGAAGCTCAGAATTTGAAAGCTGGTCTGTAACGTTAAACATTTGGGGAGTGATGTTCATATAATATACTAAATATACTTCAGCATTCCTGGGGTGATAAACTATGGGAATCATCACCTCGTTAAAATGCCAGCCCATCTCTAATTCTTGTGCTGTGACAGTGATCAGTTCCTTGGTGTCTTAGCTCTCTTTTGCTGCATGATTAACTTTGTTTATTTTTCAAAAGAGTTCTTTGAGTGGCAATTGCCAAAGCGGGTGGCAGCCGCAGGGTTTTCTTATTGAAATGCCTGGTATCAACAAACTTTCATCAGTGGCAGAGGTTGCCCAGAGAAGCTGTAGCTGCCCCATCCCTGGAAGTGTTCAAGGCCAGGTTGGATGGGGCTGTGAGCAACCTGGTCTGGTGGAAGGTGTCCCTGCCCATGGCAGGGGGTTGGACTGGATGGTCTTTAAGGTCCCTTCCAACCAAACCGTTCTACGATTCTACGGAAAGACTTGTTCTTGTGGACGGTTTAAAGAGCCCACTGCTGTATTGTCATGAATATTTGTGAGTTGTACTGATCCCACTGATGCTTCTGCTGTTTACTGTTACAACTATTTCTCTCTTCCATCATTGTCAGTGTCAGAGAAGGCCATGAAATGTTCATGGAAAAACTTGTCAAATTTCGTTGATGCTGTGACTTAAAGAGAAAACCAGAGAACCTATTTTTATTAAAGAATCGAAATTTAACGCAGCACTGTGAAGCCGTTTCACAAAATAAATAGCAGCTCTGTGTGCTTACATAGGACCATACTATTTTTAGCTTAAGCAGAAATTGAATGTAAAGTGTTCTAATAAATTGAGCTGAAATTGGTTAGAGGCAGTGGCTTTGACTCAGATTCACACCAATACATAAATATCTTCAGGAGGCTTGTTTGAGATTTGTATCAGCAGAAAGGAGGAGCAGGGCTAGAACGTTTAGTATTAAGTAGAGTTTCATAGAGATATCTCAGATTAAAATGATTGTGTTCTGTCATATCTGGAAAATAGCATAAAACCTGCAAATTTTAGGAAGAGTCTGTTGATTTCCCTGTCTTAGGAAATCCAAAATACAACTTGCTCTGCTAGAATTTGTGAATCTCTTGAAATCTCTGTTTGAGGAATGGGTAGAATAAACAGCATTTTCCATTTTGGTTAATATTGCAACTGTATAACAAGGCTGTGCATATGTTAGGGGTTACCTGTATATTCTTCCCCTGCTGCTCAGTGGAGACGTTCTTTTGGATCACCAGGACTCTTCAGGTAGAATCATAGAATCATTATGGTTGGAAGAGGCCTCAAAGATCGTCAAGTCCAACCTTCTACCCAACACCACCATGCCCACTAAACCCACTAAACCGTGTCTCAAAGAACCTCATCTAAATGTTTTTTTGAACACCTCCAGGGATGGTGACTCCACCACCTCCTCCGGGAGCCTGTTCCAGTGCCTAACGACTCTTACAGTGAAGAACTCCTTCCTAATACCCAACCTGAACCTTCCCTGGTGCAACTTGAGACCGTTTCCTCTTGTCCTAGAGGAAGGTAGATTACAAGTTACTATGACATACTTCAGATTTTCTGTTGCGAGTAGTAGTCTTTCTCATTTATTATCATTTAACTGAGATAATGAAAGACTTTGCTCCAAGCAACTTGCATGTTAAATAGGAGTTAAATCCCCGTGGGAAGGCTGCTGTGGTTCTGCTGTGAAGGAAAGCGCAGCGTCCTGCTGGAGCCACTGACTGGTGTGAATGAGGGTTTATAAGGTCAGGGTATTTATTTAATTTAGTGCTAGAAGAAATACTCTACTAGACAAATGAAAAGAATTGAGTGTTCAGTAGGGCAGGCTGGAAATTGATCCTTGTCACTCCTTAGTGAGCTTTTACAATAATACTTCTTGCAGCTGAAGTGGCTTCACCTGCTTTCTTTTGTTGGCCGATTCAGTTAAAAGCTTCAGTAAAGCACCTTGTGTTATGCTGTGGTGTTGCAAGTGAGAAGTTATTGACTATATAAAAGTTTCTCTCCTTTAAAACAGTTGTAAATTTGACATCCTAAATGCCTTTTTTCTGTAAGGGTGTTTATAAACAGTCACATGATATACTGATCTATGTGCTGTGAGTTTCTTGAAACAGACTGCATCTGTCATTATTCAGACCTGCTCTGCACCTCTGACCTCGCTTGCAACGTCTGTCACAGGTGACTTTGAACACCGAAGTTCCTAGTGACTGAAAACTGCAGATATGCCCAGGGAGCAGATTTCAAACCTTAGCATTCAGTTTGGTTACCAATGGTGTGTTTTAACTTTCTTGGCGTTTGTCTGTGTCTTTCTCTGCTTTTAGTCGATGCTTCGAGGCCGAGGAGGGTGCTACAAACACACATTTTACGGAATTGAGAGCCACCGCTGCATGGAGGCCACGCCGAGCCTGGCTTGTGCAAACAAATGTGTCTTTTGCTGGAGGTAAAACACTGATGCAATTTTACTTTGGGCTAGGGACTGTGTTCCAACCTGTCCTGTTCCTCAAACCTGGGGCAGTGTTACTTGTGTACCCTTCTCACTTGGAAACTGGGAGAGGAAGGGTTTGGAAGGGAGCAGCCTTGCTCCCCCTTTCTGCCTGTACTCCTCTCCTGCCAAGAGCTGCGGAGCCTGTGGGTCGGGGATGGTAGGAAGTGAGCTGGGTGGGTGGGCTCCACATCTCAGAGGCTGAAGAGGATCTGAGGGATCCTCAGTGTCACCTCCCCTAGAGCTGTGTCCTGTGCAGCCAGGTCTTAGACCCCAGCAAGTTCAGACCAGGTGGGGACTGGTGGAAGGAGGAATCAGGGAGGCAGGAGACAGACACCCCTTCATCTCCTGCCCTGCAATTCCCACTGCTGCCTGTGCTGAGCACTTGGCAGAAGTTTGTTTCCCTCTGGAGATCACTGTCTGGGACTCCTGGTGCTCTGGAGAACATGGGCTGGTGGATATTGTGCAAAGCCACCAAGGTGTTAAATGCTGCTTTGAAATTGGACCGTTTTTCTTATTTAAATCACACCCACCAATTCAGTTGCTTCCCAGTGAGTGGAAAGTGATGACTTAGTAACTGTTGCCTTCCTAAAACAGTAGCTAATAAATGGCTTTCCATTTTAGTCGGTAAAGTGACCCCTTTTCTCAGAGGAATTACTTTGTTGTTAATTCTCTAAAGGAAATGAGCTTTGCCTGGATCTGAACTGTGAGCTGCTCTAGCACTGCTTATTCATCAAAAAACCTGGATTTCTGAGGGAGGTTTTAGCTAGGCTGGGGGAGTGCAGGGTGGGATCAGTGAGAGAGACTGAGAGGCTCAACAGAAATAAAAGTGGTGACGTGAAAGCGTACTGAGTGGGTGGGTGTGGAGGTTATTCTCTGAGCTCTTTTGTCTTCTACATTGCTAGCTAATTCATGCCATGGGGGCTGTGCTTCCTTTGCCTACCCCAGGGGGCTGGCTGCCCATAACACCCATTCCATCCCTAAGCCTGTGTGTCCCAACATCCCAATATTTCCATGCAAAACCAGCCAAATTCCTCTGAGTACCACTTTCTGTCTTTGATAGTCTTGAAGTTTTAGCAATGTAAATATTTCATGAGAATATTGAAATGACAGCATCAGTGCAAAAGGACTGCTGTAATTTTCAAGACACTTTGAAGCCGTCTCCCATGTTAGTGTTAAGTATAAGCATTAGACACTGGTCATCCTGTTAAGTTTGCATTTGGAAGTCTATCCAAAATGTTAATTGGTGTTCTTGATGGACTTTCATCATAACGCTGGCTTGAAAGGACACAGCAAATGGCATGTTTAATGTGCAAGTTTTGCTTCTTTTCTTCAGAGCAATCTAATGACTAGGAAGAAAAATGTACTGCTCAAGTCTGTCTTTTTTTTTTTTTCCTTCCCTTCCCTCCCATATATCAGCTAGCAATGGTGGATTTAATTCTGCAGTGGTGACTGCACTGGTAGGAAGAAGATTGCTGTGCATGTTATTGTCCCTTTGTCCCTACACAGAAGGTACATCACAAACAGCAAATAGAAATCAGTGACATGGTCAGAATGAGGCATTTTGTTCCTAGTGTTCCACTGCAGACCGTTTAACACTGTTCCCCTTCAGAATGACCCAACTTGGTATTTCTTAGCAGCAGCCGCCTGCGTCTGGAGTATGGGACTCAATCAGGGAAGTCAAATAAGCATAAATTGAAAAGTGCAGTAATTGGGATAAATCCCCATGTGTGATACATTCCATGTGCCTCTAACTCATCATCCTGTAACTGTCACTTCTCGCTTTTAAGAGGGATCCTGGAAACAGTAGCTCTAATGATAACGAATGCTAGAATGTTTATTTTGCTAATGGTAACAACCCGAATGCAAGGAAACTGCTTTCCAGGGGACCATGCTGAAAAATGTTCTCATTTATTTACCTTCTGTGGGTGAAATGGGTTGCCATTGTTTGACTCTTGCTTATGGACTGCAGCTGTCTGTCTTCTCTTCTCAGACTTCTATCGAGTTGGAAGAGTTAAGGCTCGATTTGAGACTTGTCCCAAAGCTCACTTTATGTACACCTTCAGCTTGACATAAACCAGAACTGCTGCTGAAAGAAGCTTTTTTTTCAGTTTGGTTGCTTTTTCAGATCCTGTGCTTGGGCTGCTACAGCCTTTGTGTGACTGAGTTGTGCTGGTCAGGTTAATTTGATGTAGGAAGAAGAGACTTCCATACCCACTCCCCTCCCTACTGATGGCGTGTCAGCACAGTTTACAGTAACGCTGCAGCCAGGGCTATCTGTACGCTTTATCTTAAACCTACCATGCCTTGCAGATTCTTAATCTTGTGAGACTAAATGTAGAATTGCAGGCACCGGTGGCTGGGTAGGATAAACCTGTTACCTTCTTATTAGCAGTTACCATCTGTGCTGTTGGAGACGTATGAAGCAATAGTTTTGATCTGCTGTTGGCAAAACGTTTTTAATACAGATTTTATGCCTTGCTGGTGTCATTGTGCAGCTGTGCACGCTAAGTTGCAGATAAGACCACTGTGATTCTTGTTTTTTCTTGATCTCTTCTTTTAGGATTTTGACATTTGTAGAGTCTGCCAATGTTTCCAACTGTATAACCACTGCAGCTCTCCCAGGATCACTGCGAAAAAGGCCAAGGAGCCTGTTTGTTTTCTCTTCCTCACTTTGGCAAGTAACACTGTAGTTCAGCTGCTTTCCCTGGGAATTGCATGTCAGCGTATATGGCTGGTCCTGACTGAGACATTTTGGGCCAGGAATCATAGGTGGAGCCAGCATCCAAACACGCTTAGAAAGTTAGGGTTTTTTGTAAAAGATGTCGGTTGGCTGTGCACTGGAGACCTTCCTTCTCCTCCGTGTCCCTGGAAGCGGTATGTCCCTGGTACATACCAAGCCTACCAGTGCTCCCTTACTGGTGTGACCACTGGCTCGTGTTTCCCTGCTTCTCCCCTTCACAGGGCTGGCTGAGAGTTTGGTGGCACAGGATTATAATGCGGCAGCTTCTTTAGAGGACAGAAAAAGCAGATCGTTCATTTCTGTGGTGTTCCCCCTGCAAGGCAGCAATCGTGCTGTGTTAAACTCCTGAGGCTGTTGCATCAAGAGCACGGGGGGAGAAAAACCCCCACACGTTAATTACTGCAACATCCCTAAGTCATAATTCTCCCTACAAAAATAGTCTGTCGCTATCTATTATTGCTCTCAGCTGGTCTCGCTGTGTTTGTAGTGTCTGTTTAGTTTAATTGTCTAAATGGAAATGTGCAAGTGACCAAATCTTTTCATCAATTAAAGCAAGTGTGGGGACTGAGGCTTGCTGACACTGTATTGTGGCACAATCACCAGGCAAACCTGATTTGATTATGTTTTCTGGATGAGTGTCTAGAGCCCAATCAATTATTGAGGAGAGATGGAACAGCTAAATAAGATTTAAATTAATAGGGTTTATTATTTTTGCATCTGAGTAGGAAGCCAACCAGAGTGAAATATCCTGTAAAGAAATTGGTACATATTTCTTCTTCTGTAACTTTGATGTCTATACCCGTACTTGAAGGTTTCAGTTTAGCTTGTACAGTGAGCAGCTAAAGTTCTGTTCAGATGATCTAAACAAGTGTGTGACCAAAAGCCAGTGATCACAGTAAGCCCTGCAACATGAAGAGATGAAAAAAGTCATTATCTGTCATAGGAGAGGTACTTAATAAGGGCATTAAAAAAATTAAGAAGAAACTGAAAACATAGATTAAAACAAAAGCTCCTTCTCATTTAGTAACTTGACTCCAGAGGCTAAATTCTTCAGGGAGATATGAAATATTATGATATCAAAGGACTTGACAGTGCAGGTTTGTAAAACTTGGAAGCTGAGCCTGAAAGCTCAGAGTCTCCTTGCGTCTTCAGCCACCAGTCCTTATTCTGTTAAGTTAATACTCTCTTCTCCCAGTGTTTCAATTTGGTTAATTTTTTTGTTTACAGAATTGATATATTCTGTAAATATGAACTGGAGTTTCATTTTTTTCCTTCAGATTTGAGTCTTCACTGGTTTGTTGGCCTTTGGGCCTGTCTGTCTTCCAGGAGCTGTTGAAATAACCATCGGGGACAGGACAACATAGAATATACCTAGTTCATACCCCTGTCAATGGTGGTAAAAAAAAAAAAATCAAAGTCTTGGTGCTTTATGTGCTGCTTTGCCTGCACTGTAATAATCTGAGGCACAGATGTGTGGGGGTAAGGTCACTGTAAATGCACTTAGTCCCCAAAGTAGTATCTACTGTGTGAGGATTCCCAGCTTACACTGCGCAGTGGGCAGTATTTTCATTCCCGTTATGCAAAAGAGTTATGAAAGGAAGAAAAAGTACCTGACCAGCAACTCATTGGACTTGAATTCTCTTTTCCTGGTCTTGAACTTGTTGAAGGCTTTTGTAGTTGTCATTATTAGTGTACCTATTTGTGGCATCAGTAGTGAATATAAGCAGATAGTTGGCTATGAAATGCTCACATGTGTCTTGATAGTTACTGCAGGTGGTTGGTGACTTGGTACTCAGTTACAGTAACGTAATGGAGTGATTATAGGCTTTGAATGTGAACTTGTACATGTTGACATTCAGGTTAGTTTTGAAATAGTCTTTGAGACTGTACTGAGCATGGTTCTGCTGGGAAGGAATGAAATATGTTGACACAAGCACAGGGCAGACTTCTGGGAGGTGCTCAGGAAGCTCAGGTGCCTTTCTAAAAACTCTGCTCTTTAAGAAATGCTCACTTTTTTTTTTTGTTGTGATGTAGTTTTTCAGTGTGGGGCATCTTCCATCCTTAAGATTTCAGAGGTGTGAGTTACAAAAGAATCATGGAATCATTTAGATTGGAAAAGACCTTTTAGATCGAGTCCAACCCTAAACCTAGCACGGCCAAGTCCACCACTAAACCATGTCCCTAAGCACCACATCTACGTGCCTTTTAAATACCT